TTCTGTCTTGTAAGCCTGACATCTAACCCATAGGCTGTCTTGCCGATCCCATAAATGCCTAGCTCATTGTGATACACATAATAAGCACTGTTTCACTAGGGACCCAGGTATCACACAGCTATGAGGATGAGCAGCTGCTTCACTCGTCCCTTACTAGGTTTCCCAATTGGCAAGAGGCCCCTGCCTGTTAAAATTCAGGAGGGGTAAGAGGAACAACAGAAGAATTGTATTATTCATGTCAAATTCCACTTGTCTAATGGACTTGTTAAAAGCACCCTGGGTGGAAAGTGTGAGTCTTAATGGCATTTTATAAAAGTTGCTGTGATGAATTAGCACATAAAGCAAATTAAAAACAGCTTATCGCTTTCTGAATTAGGTGATGGGGCATTGTAGCATTTTTCCCAGGCGTGAAGATCCATTAATATCCAAAGGAGTCAGAAGCTGCTGTAATGTGTCAGATGTTTGGTTTTAGGGACCTGATAAGTCTGAATCAGTATAATCCTGGAGGATAAATTGTCTAAGATAAATAGAGCTCATGCAAATAGTATGTTGCTGAGCCTCTCAATGAAGACTCCTATTGCTAAAGGCAGGAGTGGGAAACTCCCCTTCAAGGACCCTGTGAAATAGAATGCAGCACAGTAGAATGAATGAATGACTTGATGGGGACCTCTAGAAAGAAACCCCACTCCTCCCCTCACTCTTCCAAAAGGGACACTGAGGCTTGAGAGACAAAGTCGTCTGAAACATTTCCACAGACCTGTATTGAGAATGTGGATCTGTCAGGGCACTGAGTCCTGAAGATAGGTGTTTTGGTGTCTTATATGCAGTCCAGAAGACTTGTGCTAAATGGCATAGGTCCTCTGAATCACAGCCCAGGACAGTTTTCAAATTAACAATTATAGTAGTTAATGTTCATTGAGTACTTACTACTGACATGCTGATGTTTTATATATATATAATATATATATATAACCTCCTCATATATATATATTTATATATAGTTTCATGCAATACTCACCATAGCTCTCTGAGATAGCTGGTGTAATTATGCCGGTTTTATGGTTAAGAAAACTTGAGTCTCAGAGTATTAAGTTACTTACGCTATATCAAGCAGTTAGCAAAGGTGCAAACTCAAGCAGTGTGACCCTGGAGCCTGCTTGCTTGGCTACTGACATACCAGGTTCCCTGATGGTTTCTGCATGTCCACTCCCCACACTTTACATCTAAAAGGAGTCTAAATCCCAGCAGTGCTTTTAGGATAAGAAATCTTGATACAGGAACTGCATGCTAAGGGAGCTTCAGGAATGTAAAGAAGAGGTGGTCAGACATGAAACAGAGATTTAAAGTCCCCAGTACTGGCCGGCGCCGCGGCTCACTAGGCTAATCCTCCGCCTAGCGGCGCCGGCACACCGGGTTCTAGTCCCGGTCGGGGCGCCAGATTCTGTCCCGGTTGCCCCTCTTCCAGGCCAGCCCTCTGCTGTGGCCAGGGAGTGCAGTGGAGGATGGCCCAGGTGCTTGGGCCCTGCACCCCATGGGAGACCAGGAAAAGCACCTGGCTCCTGGCTCCTGCCATCGGATCAGCGCGGTGCGCCGGCCGCAGCGCGCCGGCCGCAGCGGCCATTGGAGGGTGAACCAACGGCAAAGGAAGACCTTTCTCTCTGTCTCTCTCTCTCACTATCCACTCTGCCTGTCAAAAAAATAAATAAATAAAAAAATAAAATAAAATAAAGTCCCCAGTACTGCAAGGCCATGAGCATAGCCAGATGGTGGTAGGCTGGAAAACTGAGCCATGTCATAACATGGCCAAGAATATAGATTTTGGAGTCAGATGACTTCATTTTTATTCAGTCTCCATCATGTGAATACGTGTGACATGAGACTTCCCTCCCTTGTCTGTAAAATGGGGTACTAATTTTTCCCTTCAAGATTGTTATAGTATCAGTAAAGACAACTACAAGAGTCAGGCTGCTTACTAAGAGCCAAGTAGAGGTAGACATTGTGGTCATCACATCTCTACTCCCCCGGTTACCACTGCCACCACCTCCCAGGAACCAGGGGCCAAAACAAAGAGTGCTGAACTAGAATTGGGTCTGAAGACCCATCCTCCATCCCTGTGGTAGTGTTGTTAATCTGTGTATCCTGGTAGGTTAGTCAGTGGGCCTCCCTTGTCAGTAAAAACTGTTATATTACTATGTCCACTTTAACCTCCTCCCAGTAATGAGTATGGGAATGCTTTGCAGTGTATAGTTTATGTAGGGGTTCCTCAAGATAACCTACAGCATTGAGGATTCACAGTTAGAGGTCTCAGGACTCGGTAGATTTATGCTCAGGGCTATCATTTATGACAGCAAAAGGATAAAAAGCAAAATCAGCAAAGAGAAAAAGAACATGGGGCAGTTTTAAGGGAATTAGGTGTAAGCTTCCCAAAGTCATCTCTCAGTGGAGTCACACAAACACTCCTAATTCCTCCAGTAGCAAATTGTGATAACTGGCCTGAAATGCCATCTAGCAGGGAAACTCACTAGAGACTCAGTATCCAGGATTTTCACTGGGGTCTGGCGGCACTTCTCTGCCTGGTGTATAACCACACCTCCAAGAAGGAAAGCGGAAGTTCAGCATAAGTGATACTTTTGTACAGTTTAGGTATGTGAGTTATTCTTATCAGAAGCTGGTGGGAACCCTTCCAAAAGCTACGTTCCCAGGTGTCAGCCAAAGGCTACCCTTGCAATCAAGACTCCTGATGGATAGAAGTCTCAGGCTTGCCATTCAACCCTTTTTTGTTTGGAGTAGAATCTATAGGAAATATTTTTATTTGTATCCACTCAAAAGGAAAAGGAGAGATAGAAATAACAACTTGAGTTTGTAATACTATTCCTCCCTATGTGCCAGACACTGCTATACATCCTTTATGTGGATTACTGTTGTAACATCTCACATATACAACTCCATCATCATCATCAAAATCAGTCTATTATATATGAGGAAACTGAAGCATAAGACAGGTGAAGTAGCTTGCCCAAGTAACTAGCTAACTAGGCAAGTAACAACTAGTAAGGCATCATAGGAATAGGATATGGCCTTAGTAGTGTGGCTGTACTTTTAACCATTATGCCAGCTCTGCTACACTGAACCTGCCATAGGCTAGGTGCTATGTATGGGTTGTTTCATTAATGCTCATAGCAATTCCAAGTAAATGTAGTTGTTAGAATAATTTTGCATCAAAGAACCTATGGCTCAGGAATGTTTATGTCATATTACAGAACCAGAGGAGTGACAGCCTCTGGAGTGAGACTCTCTTTTCTTGGCTAGGGCTTTTTCTGGCTAGAACTTTGTCTGCACCTTTGATAGGGAAGATGCAGATGATCAAGGTGGAAATGATTTATTCTGGGAGTTCAGGCCAAGAAATTCTGCCTGCATATCATCACTTAGGTACAAAGTTAACAGAAAAGGAGACTGTTTTGCAAGTAATTCAACTTCTCCTGTGGTATTTGAGAGCTATATGTCATGTCTTCAGCTCTTTTTGGTTGCCATGACAGCAGATGTGTCATTTCTTTGATGGGGGTGAGGGGAGAAGAAGAAAGGAAAGAATCATACTTGGTCCTCAGCAATTTTAGAAAAATCTGCTCCCCATATCTAGCTCACTTTGCATATCCAGTGGATATACTCCAAGGAAATTCTTAGAATGAAATCAAAGGGGAATAATAAGGGAGGGGGAAAGATCTACCTTTCCAGGAAAATCATAGCCTCTGTGTGTGGGGCAGTGGTTTTTAAGAGTGAGGGATACAGCAGGAGGCAGACAATATAGGGTTTGGAACAGATTGTCACTTCTTAAGACAACAGCAAAACAATAAAATCCTGTTCATCATTTTGATTCTGCTTCCAACCCTGGCACATAGTACATATTACAGTGTACTAGTCTTCAAAAAAGGATAAGAAAATGCCCTTTAATGGGGGAAACAGAAAGCAAGAATTACAATTCAGAGTGATAAGGGCAATGATGAGATAGGTTTGATATTCTATGGAAGCAAAAAGATTTATAGTGTTCTTCATATGATTTTGATATATCTATATACATACATATAAAATATATATTTTTTAATTAATTGCATTTAGGCACTTATTCATATTATTATAATAACTCCTTTAGCCATCCTATATGCCACTGACTGGAGGGATTCTGATTCCATATGAGTAACCTTTAAATTGTTACAGTTTGAGTATCCTTTTTCTCGAATGATGAGAACCAGATGTGTTTCAGATTGTTTTGAATTTTGAAATATTTTCATATATACATAATGAGATATCTTAAGAATGGGATCCAAGTCTAAACAGAAAATTCATTTATAATTCATATGCATTTTATTTATATAGACTAAAGGTAATTTGATACAATATTTATAGTGAACCTACATCTGACTACTACCCATCACCTGAGATCAGGTGTGAATTTTTCCACATGTGGCATTATGTTGGAACTCAGTTTTAGATTTCAGAGCATTTCAGATTTCAGATTTTCAAATTTTAAGGATCCTCAACCTGTACCATTTTTTCCACATTATAAAGGAAAAAGTTCTATAGGCTGAGCTTTTTTGTTTATAACAAACAATACTTCGTTAAAAAGATAACCATGTTTCTCTTTATTATTTTCTTCTATTTAGTAATTTTAAAATTTGTAGCAGGAGGAAAAAAAGAAATCTCAGTTGGTAAACTGACCTCCTCATCTCCCATTATCTCCTTGTGATATCCTATGGTCTCCAAGAAAAAAAGTAGACCCGAGTTTTAAGGATTTATAGCCTGCCCCTGTCACCATCAAAGAGAAAAAAGAACTATCCTCTATTTTTGGCCAAAGCAGTGGGAATGTAGACTGTGACCCAGGAGTCACCCTGAGAATGAGTAACAAATGAAAAATGGATTGGCAGGGCCAGAGTGAGCATCCAAGACTGAATCCTAAATCTGTGCTCTCAGAGGTCCCTAACAGCGTCTTGCTTCGTTTCCTCTAGAGCCATGTTTGACTATGACAAGAGCAAGGACAGTGGGCTGCCGAGCCAAGGACTGAGTTTTAAATATGGAGATATTCTCCATGTTATCAACGCCTCCGATGACGAGTGGTGGCAAGCCAGGAGAGTCACGCTGGAGGGAGACAGCGAGGAGATGGGCGTCATCCCCAGCAAGAGAAGGTAAGGATGCCTTTTGGGTATTAGAACATTTGCTTCTCAGCCATCCAGAGAGTTGATGAGGAAAGGGGAAGATGGGAGAGACTCTTCAAAAATACCCATGTAAGCAGGACGGACAATCTGCAGGAAAACTCTCATTGGTGACAGGCAACACAAATTAAGCATTCTCATTCTCCTCATTTGAAGGTTTTACCAAAGTTGGTGACCATGAACAGGCACAAAGGAAGAGAGAAGATCTGTTTATACCATATTCCTAAAACTTTTATGAAAGATTATACTTATCAGCCTTTATTCTGACTTACAAATTCAATGGGTTTATTCTAGAGTAGAGGTTCAACGGCAGAGTTAGACAGTAAGAGAGAAAGGTCTTCCTTCCGTTGGTTCATCCCCCCAATGGCCACTACTGTCAGCCCGCTGCGCCGATCCGAAGCCAGGAGCCAGGTGCTTCCTCCTAGTCTCCCATGCAGGTGCAGGCACCCGAGCACTTGGGCCATCCTCCACTGCCTTCCTGGGCCACAGCAGAGAGCTGGACTGGAAGAAGAGCAACCGGGACTAGAACCTGGGGTGCCAGCACCACAGGCGGAGGATTAGCCTAGTGAGCCGCGGCACTGGCCTTAGAGGTTCAACATTTTTAAAAAGCCCAGGTGTAAGCCAAATAAAGTAGGCAATTTCTTAGGGTAAAATCCCTGGTTATGTACCATCTCCAAACGTCAATGGAAAAAGCTGAAAACCTCCATCCCAAATTCAGTTGCTTGGATTATGAGCTGTCAAATATCAGGTGAGGTCTAAGGAATGGGTTTACATTGCTCTTTCCTGTTTGAGTTTCTCTTGTTTCCCACCTCATACTTCCCAATACTCACTCAGATATTCAGTTCTATGTCAGTTTTCCTAAGCCAAGAGTATTTTGCCCTTTCTCTTTCAAACATTTCTTCAACTACAGCCAGCTCATGCATTCATCCCAGCAGCTTCTTTTTTTTTTTTCCTTGACAGGTAGAGTTATAGATGGTGAGAGAGAGAGAGACAGAGAGAAAGGTCTTCCTTCCATTGGTTCACTCCCCAAATGGCCACTAAGGCTGGCTTTGTGCCAATCCAAAGCCAGGAGCCAGGAGCTTCTTCCTGGTCTCCCATGTGGTGCAGAGGCCCAAACACTTGGGCCATCCTCCACTGCCCTCCTGGGCCAGACCCAGCAGCTTCTAATTACCACCACCACAGAAGAACTCTCCTTCCTACGAATGTCCTTGGACAGCACCATGTTGCTCGAGAGACAAAAATCAACTGTATCCTAGAAAGCAGACATGGTGTAAAATCAATGAGGGGTGATGATTTTTCAAATCAGCTACCAACACTTTTCAAGGTGCAAGTTACTCCAAGAGCTCTCCTCCTCCTATTAGACCCCAAAATAAATCCCCAGTAAAGCCACAAATTCAATCACGGATACACACCAAGTGGCACAATGATTGAACTAGTACAAATATAGTGGGCAGATGAAACTTATACCCCAGAGGAACTCTGGGAGACTGTCCTTCCCCAGAAAAAAAACCGGTCCCATCTTTCTCTGCCTGTGGTCACACTACCTTGGGAGGAATGAGACAGGGAGGGCAGCAGGCCAATTGTTCTGTGGCCACTTTCTTTCCTTTACAGGAGGAGTCAGGGAGTCTTCCCAACCCCCATGCCTGTGTGCATGGATCTCCCACCAGCAAACCCGTAGGTAATTGCCAGTCCTTGCTTTGCAAGGGCTTTCTGGCTCTACCATGCCTTGTAGTGTTTTCTGGAAGGTTATATATTCAAAGCACTGATTCTCAGCTCCAGACTGTTTATATTATACATTTCTCCGTTTCTGTTACCTTCAGATTAAAAAAAAATGCAAAGACATTCATATTTCGTTTGCTGGATTTTTTTTCTTTGCAGTTAATGATGTTGTCAATTTGGTCTTGATTAATCTTTCTTCTTTGACGTTCTTTTTTTAAATAAAGACTTATTTATCAAGTCAGAATTATGGAGTAAGAGGGAGAGGTAGAGAGGGAGAGAGATTTCCATCTGCTGGTTTACTTCCCAGATGGCCACAATGGCCATCACTGAGCCAGGCTGAAGTCAGGAGTCAGGAGCTTCATCCAGGTCTCCCACATGGGTGGCAGGGGCCCAAACATTTAGACCATCTTCTGGGGCTTTTTCCAGACCATTAGCAGTTAGCTGGATCTGAAGCAGAGCAGCTGGGACATGAACCTGCACCCACATGGGATGCCAGCGTTGCTGGTGGTGGCTTTGCCTGCTATACCACAATGCCAGCCCCACTTTGTTTGCTTTGATTTAATTAACTGGAACTGTTTAAGGAGCTGCTCTTTAAAAGAAAAAGCCATCTTTAAAAAAAAAAGTGCTCTTTTTTAAAAGATTTTATTTATTTATTTGATAGGTAGAGTTATAGATAGTGAAAAAGAGACAGAGAGAAAGGCTTTCCCTCCATTGGTTCACTCCCCAAATGGCTGCAACAGCCAGAGCTGCGCCAATCCGAAGCCAGGAGCCAGGTGCTTCTTCCTGATCTCCCATGCAGGTGCAGCGGCCGGAGCACTTGGGCCATCCTCTACTGCCCTCCCGGGCCACAGCAGAGAGCTGGCCTGGAAGAGGGGCAACCGGGACAGAATCCGGCGCCATCTTAGTAACCATACTACAGTTGGCCTAGAGAAGAAGTTTGTCCAATGACTGGAATATTGATATTGGTTCACATTCTAGTTCATGAAGGGTGCAGTAGCCCCACCTTCTGAATGAATATATATATAAATTTTATAAATATATAACATTTAATTATATATTTATCACATTATAAGTGAATTTCTGTTGATTTTTTCCTTAGGGTTTTAATTATTTCATAAAAGTAACTTTTGTTATTTTATATGCTTAAAATTAATACCTTTCATTATAGAAAAGTGGGAAATTTTAGAAAAATATAAGGAAAAAGTGGAAATCACTTATATCCTACCCCACAATCATCATATATTTATTTTAATGAATTTAAAATCTAAATAAATTTATTGGGTTGGTTTTATTTTCCAGCCTCTCTCCTGAGTACAATTCATCTAGTAGACTGGTTTGTTAAACAGTCTTATACTGGATATCATTAGTGTATTATCTCACCCTTTACAAAAATGTTTCTCATTTATTCCATTTAATCATTTCAGTGAAACCATGAGATGAACGGTATGAATATTATCATCTTCCTTTTATATTTTTGAAGATGGTGAATAAATCTTATTTAACAAAACGCTTCTATGGAATGCTAGACTCTAGGTCCTTTATAAGTATTAATTTCTGGGGCGGCACTGTGGCATAGTAGGATAAGCCTCTGCATGTGGCGCTGATGTCCCATATGGGTGCAAGTTCATGTCCTGGCTGCTGCTTTTCCAATCCAGCTCTCTGTTAATGGCCTGAGAAAGTAGTGGAAGATGGCCTGAGTGCTTGGGCCTCTGTACCCATGTGGGAGACTCAGAAACTCCTGGTTCCTGGCTTTGTATCAGCCCAGCTCTGGCCATTGTGGCCATTTGAGGAGTGAACCAGAGAATGGAAGACCTCTCTTTCTGTCTCTCCCTCTTTCTGTCTGTAATTCTGCCTCTCAAATATATAAATAAATATTTTTTAAAAAATAAGTATTAATTTATTTAAACCTCATTACCTATGAGTGAGATGTTATTACTATCTTCATTTTATAAATAAGGAGGTTGAGGCACAGAGAAGTCAGTTAATTTATCTGAAATGACACATCCAGCGAGTTTCAGAACTGAGATTTGACTCCAGGGTGCAGAATTGCTTTCAACTCACATGCAGTCCTGTCTCCCAAAGGTACAAAAGTCAGAGTTGACAAATTCAGTTCAGCAGATGTTACTTGCTCAGCATCTGCGTCGGGCACTGTTGTAGGGTCGCTCCCTGGAGCCTGTCATTGGTGGGAGCAGCCTGTAAGTATCCCATAGCTACTCTGTCATTACCAAGGGCAGCAGACAGAGGGCTGGCTTCCATCTGATGATAGCATTAGGTATCATGCTAACTGTTTTCAAAAACATGAGTTTGATTTCATCTTCACAAAAACATCGTAAGGAAACTGAGGGTCAGAGAAGTCAAGGAACTAACTCAAAGATACACAACAAATTACTTGTTTTCCATTAGGACAGAGAGCTTTCCACTAAATCGGGAGCACTACAGTAGGAGCACTTACCAATCAAAGAAATCGCCAGAGAATCTAAATTGCCTGCCAAAATCACACTGGCAGCAAGAGGGCTACAGAGACTACAGCTCTTAGGTTTGATGCCCCACATTTGGAGGTTCCCTTGAAAAGAAAGAGAAAAAGAGAAGTTCATGCCTTTGCCCAGCTGGCAGAGTAGGCCTGACCACGGCAGTGAGCACTTGAAGCAGGGACCTCTATTACCTCCCTTTTACAGACAAGGACATTGGGACTATAGATGGCAAGTGACATCATGGACAGCATTCTCATAATCATCTTAGCAGCAGCTGAATGTGGATTGTGTTCTTACAATGTATCAGACACTGCTGAACAATTTTCTTATATTATCTCATTTAACATTCATCTATTTTGGAGTCTATGTTACTATGCTGATTTTACCAACATGAAAACTGAGATCCTATGAGATTCGAAGACTGTCCTAAGTCACAGACCTATAGTTAGTGGCAGAGGCAGAATTCTTTTTTTTTTAAATAATTTTTAATTTTATTTTTGAAAGGCAGAGTTACAGAGAGAGAGAAAGAGGGAGGTCTTCCATCTGCTGGTTCCCTCCCAAAATGGTCACAGGACTAGGCCAGGACTAGGCTAGGACTAGGCCAGCCTGAAGCCAGGAGCCAGGAGCTTTTTCCTGGGTTTCCCACATGGGTGCAGGGGCCCAAGCACTTGGGCCATCCTCCACTGCTTTCCCAGGTGCATTAACAGGGAGCTGGATTGGAAGTGGAGCAGCTGGGACTTTAACCACTGTCACAGTGTCAGTCCCCAGAGGCAAAATTCAAAT